CTAAAAAACAAAACAGAAAGGGGACCTTCAGGCCCCGCTTCAGAGTGACTAATGAGCTGCACGTGGAGGAAAACAAGGTACTTGCTGGGGTTTGTGTGGGGAGATAACAGACTTAATTACATGGTGCAGGAGCTGTAGATAGAAGAGAGGAAACACGAGTGCTGAGGAGGAGATGGATGTTGTGTATCCTGGTAGGAGAGGAGCTCTGGTGATGTTTAAAAGCTGTTCTCAGTGAACAGTTTGAGATTCTCATGATAGTCTGTCTCTCTCCAGGAAAGCTTGGCTCCTTTGTAGGTGTGTGATGTCTTCAGGGACTGGGGATCAGAAAAGCAAGTGTTGATGATTATAACATGGATTGAACTGTCAGATGTTGATGGTATTCTCCAGGGAAGCATCTCTGGGTCCGCTCAGCTTGCTGTGGTGTTTGCTTTAAGATAAGACATCAAAGCTAGGCAGGAGCCATAAATGGGTGGGCACTTAATTATCAAACTAAGTGAAAAGTGCTTAAGGATAAACAGGTAGAACTCAGTCCTGCAATGGATCTCCATGGCAGCCGCTGAAGGGTCCTCAGAAATGATCATTTCATGTTGTACTCACACCTACTGATGCATGGTGAGGAGTGGAGGATGGGAGTCCTGGAATAAGCCCTGTAAGCAAACTAACCTGCTGCTGGCTGGGAGCAAGCCTTCCCTGTGGGTCTCACAAAGGCCTGCTAATTAAGATGCTTCTGGAAAGAAGGTGCAGTAGGACCAACCCTTGGGCTTTTGGAGTTCACGTACCTTGACATTAGGGGCAGGTAAAGCTGTGCTTGCTCCCTGGCTTCTCTACATGAGGCTGAGCTTTCCCTGGCTGCAATGTGATCCTTGGGCATGCCGGGAGCCTGCCAGGTTTTGGGCAGAGCGCTGAGTCAGAGCTCCAGCTGGAGTGGAGAAGTCAGGAAAGCCTTTTCCGAGACGGTGCCGCCTCTGCAGTGCTTTGTTGCAAATCAGAGGGCTCGGATTTGTACAAACCTCTGGACTCCCAAGCAGCAGAAATGTTAAATTTCCAGTAGTTTTTGTCCAACAGGAACTGTTGGAGTTTCCATGTGGCTTTAGGGCACTTGAGTCTTGGTGGTGCAGACGCTGTGCCATCAAAGGCTGCGGGAACTGGTGAGACTGGAACTGGCAGTGTCCTCAAGCTCGGTGGTGGAACGTGCCTCCCAGCCAAAGCAGGCAGTGTGGACTGCTCCATGCCAAGCTCCCTGTGCTCCCTGGCCAGGTGTCTTTGTGCAGTGTGTGAAAGGTCAGGCTCCTGGCACTTGTGTTTTCCTTTTTTTTTTTTTTTTTCCTGTTCCAAGATAGCTAAGAGACTTTCCCCTATCAAGTTTCCAGCATGTGGATTAGCTCTTTGTGCTTGGCCGTTTATGCCACATCCAGGGCTTGACTCCGTTTCAGCCACATGCATCTCTTACCCTCTCTCCCCAGTCTCCAGGGGCACAAGGGTGAGATGAGGCTGGACAGTTACTGAGATTTGTGAAGCGAGTTCTGTTGTTCAGGGAAGTAAAACTCCAAACTGACTGAGCTTCCCAGAGAGCAGGTAGACCTCCAGCTAGAGGCTCATGGCTCTGTGTTCCTGCCAAGCCCTCCTATGCCAAAGTGAGATCTTCCTTTGGCTATTTGAAGTCTCTGACTCCATGTAACAGTGCTGGGAATGGCATCAGGGGACCTGATCAGGGTACTGCCCTTCTTAAGGGAAGTGAGACCTCTCCAGGGTCTGAGTTAAGAAGGGGGAGGGTTCTGCTCTGCAGAAGGGCTTGTAACATGACTGCTGCAGTGTGATCCAGGCCTGATGCAGGGTGTTGCCTTATTGATGTTAATCAGAGGTGTTTCAGTGTAATACTATAAATTCAGTACATTGAGCCTGCTGTTAAGCCTGTGGCTTGACTGAACTCATTTTGTGTTGGTATCCTGCTGTGAAAGAAGAAAATCAGCTTTGAAGAGGTGGCAGCAGCTCTGGTCAGACAGAAGGCAGGGATGTCCTCAAAGGCAGCTGAACTTGGGATACATCTTTTCCACCTTCCACTGACTGATAAGGCAGCTAATAAGGCAGCTAAGTGTACCCTGCTGTCCAATATCTTGCGTCCTGGGCATCTTGCATTTTCTTCCTGCTGGGAATGCAAGTGCCAGATGGTTTTCTGTTCTTCCTCCCTCAGCTCAGTCACAGACTGAAATGTGTGGGACTGCAGCCTCTTCCCTTCCCTCTCCTAGTGCTGAGGGATGCAGTCCCTGTCCCCACCTGTGTTACACCTTGGCCATGTCTCTGCAGTGCTCCTTCCTGGGAGCCTGGGTACCATTAGGAAGCTGTGACATGGTTAACGAGGCTCCCTTTCTGCTTTTGCAAGTTCCCTGTGAGCTCCCTGGAGGAATCTGCTGTCTCCACAGGTGTACCTTCCATCTGTCAGCCAGTTTGTTGAAAGGATTTTGACAGGCAACTTTCCTCCGTAATCCTTAATAGCTTCAAATTTAAAATGTTTATGGCAAAGCTAATCCCACGAAACTCCCTGTAGTTTTAATAAATCTATCCTCCAGCAAGACTCTTCTGGTGAGAGGAGGTAAATCTGCTTCTTCCTACAGTGATACATATCTGCAGATGTGGCTGTGGGGCAGCTTTAAATCACCTACTTGGTCCTCACTTAAAAACTGGTATCTCTGCTCAGGGAGCACCTTGCTAAAAGCAAGACCTCATGGGGTTATCCACCTCCACAACTTCTGTCAGGACTGAAAACTGTTGGAATCAGTGAGTCTCTTGTATGGCTGGGCACTCCATTTACAGCTGGAAGGCAAGAGAATAACTCAGGCTGGGATTCCTGGATGTTCCTAGGCCCAAATCCCTCACTCAAAGCAGGACATCTTAGGTGGGGAGAAGACCCTGAGTATCCCAATCAAGCTTTGAATATCTCCAAGGACAGACAATCCATAGGCTCTGGGGCAGGGGGACACCTTTTTTGTGCTCCAATGTCTTCCAAAGATGGCTTTAACCTCAGAGGATCTCTAATGTGTGTTTGTGCAGGTGTCACTCAGGGGAAAGAATGAAGGGAGTCATTCTGTAAAAATGCAGATCTCTAGAGACCTCTGCCCTCGCAGCACCAGGCAGGCTGGGGACAGTGTCTGAGTGACCTGCCATGGGTATTTCAGTTGTGGTCAGGCCTCAGTGCAGGAGCAGCATATCCCAGGGATCCCAGGGCTGTGTGGTTAAACAGCTGTCGTTAGCCTGGCTGGAAGAGGGAGGGTGAGGGTTATTCTGGCACAGGGAGCTGCTGGATGGCCCGGGCATCGCTGCCCTGCTTACTTTGGGCGGGAACGCTGGGAGCTGCCTTGGCACTCTGCCCTGTGCCCCTTGTCCTGTGCTGCTGGAGACTGCTGATAGTCACAGGAGATCCTGTCCTTGTTAACATGACACCCATTTAATTTCCCCCATCCCTCTGTCACCTTCTACCCTTGAGCAGAAGCAGTTGTGCTGGTTTGCGCTGTAAGACCCTCTTCCATACAGAAAGGGGCTGTTTGCTGTTCCCCTGCCAGGCTGTGGAGTAACACAGGTCCAAACAACAGCAGGGGTGGGAGTGGAGGCTCTTCTTGCTGCCTCTGCCTTGAGGAAAGAAGTAGACAGGGTCCAGATCAGAGACTCTGCTTGCTGTGGGGAAAATGAAAGCTTAGCTGTAGCCTGGTTTTGGGCGGAGACATCAGCCAGAGCATGGCTGAAGAGCTGCAGGGAGAGTGAACGTTGTTGGAATGAGCAGGTCAATACTCTGTGAGCAAGTGTGAGTCATTCCAGGCCACTCAAGTGAGGTCCTGGGCTGGGCCATCTTCCACCTTCCAGCAGAAGCTGTTGGCCTGCTGATCCCCACCATAAACATGGTTATCTGGGTCCAGAGCAAACCTTGTCCTTACAGATCCTTGTGAGAGTGACTCAGTATTTGCAGAAGCCTTTCACATCCAATCCATTACCTAATCCCTGAGTGCTGTGAGGAGGCTCACAGGTTCCTGCTGCGCTGGCTGGCTTCCCAAGTGGCCGTGCCCAGGGTGTGGATGTGGTGGGGCAGTGTGCTCCCAGGGCATGGGGATAACAGCCATGCCCAGGCTCAAAGTGCCATTTGGCAGCTGAAACCATCCCAGTGGAACTGTTGTTGTGTCCTGTCTGCTCCAGGGGTGCAGAGACCCACACAGAGGGCTCAGAGTCAAGGGGGATGTGAGCCCTTCCTGCCCGTGAGGCAGGGCCATGAGGCACTTGTCCAGAGGTGCTGCCCAGATGGCTCCACTCCAGTGTTGTGGGAGCTGGAATGGGATTATTGTGATACCAGGTGTGATGCTTCTGAGGTAACTGAGATCACTCTGTGCTGTCGTCTCCGTAATCCGTCTGTTGTCACAGCAGGTGAGGCAGGTGACGCTGTGCATTAACACTGTAACCTCAGTGAGGAAAATCCCACCTGGGAAGGATGTACCCTCGCCATGTGAGCTCTTATGTCCGAGGCAGCTGTAATTGTACCATCTATACATTCTTTGGGTGTCCTGGAAACATGGCCTGTGCTCATGGGAGGTGGAAGAGGTGAACACCCCATAGCTCTGGTGGTGTCAGTCCATGTGGCTGTCTCGTAACCCTGGACCATCTTCTCCCTCTTGCTTTGACTGTCCCTCTCACCACATCACAGAGCCCAACTCTCCTCCTACAGATGAAAGGCATCTCTTTCCTAGAAGATTTTTCTCATTCTGGAAAATGCCTGATGGACAATACTTCAAAATGAACCCACTCTCCTTTTTCATGGGGGACTGAACCCACGGCGTGATTTCCCATCTGCCTCCCGCTGCAATGGGAGCAGATACTGGATGACAGAGCAGGACTTTGCAAGCCAGCTGCCTCCTGCCTCTCACTAGAGACTCACAGGAGCACCCAAGCAAGTGATGGGAGTGTCAAGTGACTGGGGCTTAACCCGAGTGTCTCTCTTGTCTCTCCCTCTCTCCATGCAGGTGACGGAGCTGAACGAGCCCCTGTCCAACGAAGAGAGGAACCTGCTGTCCGTGGCCTACAAGAACGTGGTGGGGGCACGGCGCTCCTCCTGGCGAGTAATCAGCAGCATCGAGCAGAAGACCTCTGCCGATGGGAACGAGAAGAAGATCGAGATGGTCCGTGCCTACCGCGAGAAGATCGAGAAGGAGTTGGAAGCAGTGTGCCAGGATGTGCTGAGCCTGCTGGACAACTACCTGATCAAGAACTGCAGCGAGACGCAGTACGAGAGCAAAGTCTTCTACCTGAAGATGAAAGGGGACTATTATCGCTACCTGGCCGAGGTGGCCACCGGGGAGAAGAGGGCGACCGTGGTGGAGTCCTCGGAGAAGGCCTATAGCGAAGCCCATGAGATCAGCAAGGAGCACATGCAGCCCACCCACCCCATCCGGCTTGGGCTGGCGCTTAACTACTCCGTTTTCTACTACGAGATCCAGAACGCGCCGGAGCAGGCCTGTCACCTGGCCAAGACGGCCTTCGACGACGCCATTGCCGAGCTGGACACCCTCAACGAGGACTCCTACAAGGACTCAACGCTCATCATGCAGCTCCTCCGCGACAACCTAACGCTCTGGACGAGCGATCAGCAAGACGATGACGGCGGAGAAGGCAACAACTAGACCCCCCGATGGACTGGCAGCCGCACGCTGATGCTAACTACTGCAGTCTTTATTTTTTTCCCACGAGTGGGGGGGGGTCAGGGGTGGGGGAGGGAAAGGGAGGGGACACCTTCCCAGGGAGGCCCCCCACAACCTGTCTTTGATTGCCTCGTTGACATTTTTGCCAAAACACCACTAGTGGAAGTCAGGCTGGCTGTGCTGGTATGGAATAGCAGCCTCACTGGCATATGGACTGTTCTGTAGATTATTAATACAAGTGGAGCTGTCTTTAATTTAACTTTATTGCTAGAAATAAAAGGGTTTTAAGACGAATTCGCGTGGATGGAATGGCCCTCGTTTTTAAGGAAAGCAACGCAAAAACATTAAAAAAAAAAAAGACAAAAACAAAACAAACAAAACACAAAAAAAAAAAAAAAAAAAAAAAGGGAGTTCTGTGGTTCCAGTAAGGCTTCGTGCGTTTGTTTCCGCAGTCCAGGTGCCGTGTGTGTCCGCACCACGTCACGGGGCGTCTCTCTGCAGCGCTCTGCCCGCCAGGGCACAGCCTCAAATCCCCAAATTGAGAAGGAATTAAAAATAAAACCAACAAAACCAAACAATTTGGGGCTCACAAAGCCCCGGGATTTAGGCCATCCAATCTTTTTCTTTTTTTTTTTTTTTTTTTTTTTTTTTTTTTTTTTTTTCCTCCTGTTAAGATATTTATTAGGGTAGCTTACAGTATTAACACTAAATTGCAGTTTACAGTGTTTCTACATTACAGCCATATGACATCAAGCCTTTGATTGTCTTGTTTTTCTTTCTTTTGCTAGTTCTTTTGGCTTGCCTTCCTGAGCAGTCCTGGCCTGTGGACTGGCTTTAGCTATTCTGTGTCGCCCAAGGCAAGAAGATCGCCCGCCCGAGGAACATCAAAGCTGCTCTAGTTTTTTGGTCAACAGCTTAACAGGTGCTTGGCTAGCGGCTGTTTCAACTATTTTAAGTCCACAGCAAAAGGTTTAAGAACTTAATTAGACAAGGGGGAAGTGTTTAAACTTAAAGAAAAAAATGCCACTTAAATAAAAAAAAAAATAATAAAAAAAAAAATTAAAAAAAAATGAGCATTCAGGTCTGTATGTCATGTACTGTGTTTGGTATTTCAAAAGACCATCCTGGTTTAAGGTGCCACAGCTGCTTCCTCAGGGATTGCACTGCCATTTCACTCTGCCTGACTTTCTCCCACTGTACCATGAGGTTTGTCAGCAGATCTCCAGCACCCAGGCTCCCTTGTTTGTCACCAGGGAAGCCAGGTGCGTTTTCCTTTCTCCTGGGGAAGCTTGTGGTGTAATGAGTGAACTTCAGGAGCTTAGAAACTAATTTGGTAGAGAAATTCCTCAAGAGGAAGAGCTACAATCATAGACATTTCTATCCACCATCGGGAGCCCAGGAACTTAGTTCTCTTCTTAGCAAAATCTTTTCCAAGTCTGTCTGATCTGGCTGGGGGTGGGGGACGGGGCATCTGAGTTGCTTAGCAGGTAATATTTACCCCATTTTGAGTAAGTTTAGCTTTGATTTTGATTTTCCCATGGTTGTTGGAGGTTCACTGCTGCTCTCTGGCTCGCAGAGCGCTGCGCCCTGCGGCGCTTCTCCCAACGCTGTGCAGTGAGAGGAAACCGCACTCGTGCTTTTATTCTTTATTAAATAGTGGTCTGATTTTGGAAACAGGCTTTCATTGTCCCTTTGAGAGTCAGCCCGACACGGCGTCGTGGTGTGGCACACACGGCACAGCCGCTCCTGCTGCTCCTGCTGCCGGGGTGTGCGGGGGGGACGCGGCTCCGGCTCCCTCCCCGCTGTCCGGCTCCCCGGGGAGCGAGCGGGGCCAGGCCGTGCTCAGCCCCCGGACACTGCCCCGGTGGTGCTGGAATAGCTTTTTCTGGCCGGGATTCATCCACCCAAAGTCAGGCCCAGGCGCTTTGCAGGGATTTGGGGTGCAGCATCCCGCGGCGAGGGGCCCGCGGTGCCAGTGCGTGCCGGGACCGGGAGATGCTTTAGGCTTCTTACCTCCCTCTCATCAACCCCCGTGTCCCGTGAGCAGTGTTGTCCCAGCTGTACAATTTGGAAGTGATTTACTGGAATTACAAAACCTATCTTCTTTTTTTTTTTTTTTTTTAAATTACTACTCTTTTTGGCTTTTGCTCTGGCTGCTTTAGGAAACTTATGCAGGAGAGATGGCACAAGAGGGCTAAAAACGGAGTGGGGGTCAGGGACTTGATTTTTAAGCAGCTTGAATGGTTTCTTTCATTTTTTAAGAGATGCACTTGCCTATGATACTGTCTCTCCAGTGAAATGATTACTGCTCCATTACTCTATTGATACAATATTGTGCATGCTAGTGTCGTATTTCTATACAGTAGCTTGAAATTTATTAACTTATACTGTAGATGTTATGTATTCCTATGACAAAATAGTCTTCAAAAATTTTCTAAAGTTTTTTAATTTATTTTTCTTTCCTTTTTTTTTTTCGGGGGTAAAGTTTGCTCTACCAAATAGTGATCGTAACAAACTGATCTGTTATGGATGTTGCTATAGTGACATGCAATTATATATGATTTTGTTTTTAAAAAGGAAAAAAAAAAAGCAAAAGAAAACACCAGTGTTAGCTTAATCTTAATGTCTGGTGTTCGTCATGGTGAAATTATAACTATTACAGTGTAGGAGAACAATGACTGTGTTCTTTGAATGAGCCTTTGTTTGTGCTTTTTGTCATGTTATGCAGTGAACTATTTTTAAGGTCTAATCAGTGATTATTTTTCCAACTCCGTGTTTCTGTAAGGAATTATTTCACACACGGACCATTCTTAGCAGTTTTTCCTCAGTGATGGAATATCATGAATGTGAGTCATTATGTAGCCGTCGTACATTGAGCAAATAAACTTACAGATCTGACGTCAGCGCTGCTTAATTGTTATCGCCTGTGTCGAGTTTCTGGGGGGCTCCGTGGGGTGGGGAGGGCTCGGGAACAGCCGGGTGTCTGATCCCGGGGGCCACCGCCCTTCCTCCGGCGCAGAGGATCCCGGCGGATTAAGGGATCACCGGGCTCCTTCCCGGGGCAGAGGCGAGGGAAGGTGGGAGCCGCGGGGAGGGTTCCTGGATGCTCCCGTGGCCGCAGGGGTGGGTGTGTGGGAGCCTCCCTGCCTCCCTCCCCTCCCTCCCTCCCTTCCCCGATGGTTTTCCGCCCGGAGCCACACGCGCGGTGACTCACGCTGTAAAAATACTCCCCTCCCCGGGAAACTATAAACGGAAAATGCGCCCTGACTCACGCGCCCTGCGAGGGATCCGGGGGTGCAGGGTGGACACCCCCGGGAAGGGGCTGGGAATAACCTCTGGGTGATGGCAAAGAGGGGCTGGGGGCTCGCCGAGCACCCCAACGCAGAGAGGGACACCCCGAGCCCCACCCCTGCGCCGTGGTGCTCCGACAGCCCCCTCACCACGGCTTTTTGGGAGGTGAGAGCCACTGTGGCACGGCCACGGGAGAGAGGGGAGGGGGCTGGGGATGCTCCTGGAGGGACTTCTCCCCCTGGAGACACACTCGGGCTGGAAGAGCCTCCCACCTCCAGACACACGCACATAGGGTCCCCCCAAGCACACAGGTGACCCCTGGCAGCAGGAACTGACCCCAGGATTGTGCCTGAGAGCTGCCAAACTGCTCACCCCTGAGACTGCTGGGGCAGAGGGGATGGGGGGGAAGGGGTTCGGGGGGCACGTGGAGCCCCCCAAGCCCGGAGAGGGGCCTCGCGGCCGCGGGATTCCTCCCAGGTCACTGTCTGCCTCTGGGATGACTCAGGGGGGATTAGTGGGATTTGTCGGAGTGGGAACATCGAAGCCCTGGGCCTGACCTCAGCCATGTAGGGCCAGTCCTGCCCAGAGGCGCATGGGGCCAACTGGGGCTGAACTCGAGACCACGACCCCCCTTTGCCCCAATCCAGCCCCCCAGTATGGCTGCAGCCCCTGAGCTGAACCCCTCAGCTGGCCCCTCACAACAGTGGGATGGAAGGAAAGGGGAGCACTGGATGGCAGGGCTGGGGCTCAAGGGGCTGCATTGCTGGGGTTGCAGGGTCCCCAAGCAGAGCTTCTGCCCCCAAAGCCCTTCTTTGCCCTCTGACTCCCCTGTGACCCAGAGGGGGGTGTGTGGGTGCTTGTTGCTCAGGGATGTCACCCAGGAGGGTGACACTGGGCTATGGAGACCCAAAATATTCTGATATTGGCTGAGAGCCAGCATTGTGGAGACCAGGGAGGGTGAGACCCGGGGCATTTGAGCACCTTGAGGGTGCACCCAAGAGGGTGAGACTCTCTTGGCATTTGAGAGACCTGGGATGTAGGAGACCCAGGTTGTGGAAACCTGGGATGCTGAGCCTGGGATGTTGGAGACCAGAAATTTTTGAGACCTGGGATATAAAGACCTGGGATACTGGAGGCTGAGATGTGAAGAGCTGAGAAGTAGGAGACCTGGATGTGGGATATCCAGGATAGGGAGAGTCAGGATGTTGACTCCAGGTGCTGAGCAGGGCTTGGTGACCCCCCCATTGGCCTCAGGCAGCCCCATCCTGGTGCTCTGGTCCCAGTGCCTGCAGTGCAGCTCCCCCCTGCCGGGGGACACACACAGGGACAGGTTTCTTTCACCAGTTTTTATTCCAGCTGATAATGTCTGTTCCTTCACATTTATTCAAGGCACTCGGTGACAGGGCGAGTACAAAATCAACAGTAAAAAGGGGGCGGGTGCGAGGGGGCAGCTGGGGATGGGGGCGGTGGCGGCTTCTCCTCCTCCTCTTCCTCCTCCTCCTGGGTGCCGCCTACTTCTTGGCTGGTTCCTTGGCTTGGCTCTCGACGGTGACGGGGATGGTGATTTCCGCGGACTGGATGGCGGGTTTGGGCAGGGGGGCCTCCACCGTGAGCATTCCATCGGGGGACAGCGAGGATCGCACGGCCGTGGCTTCAACACCGGGGGGGAGGCTGTGGGGGGAGAGGGAGAGTCAGGGCTGCAGCACCCACTGCCCCACCTACACCCCCCAGGGATGTGACAGCCCCAAACTGCTGCCCCTCCACTCCCGGTTTGGCCAATGGGCACTGAGGGGGTGGGTGGGCAAAGGTCCCCAAAGACATCGAGGTGCTGCCAGGATCCCAACTCCCCTCCTCCCTGATACTTACGTGTATTTTCGGGTGAAGCACCTGGAGATGAAGCCGTGTTCATCCTGCTTCTCCTCGTGTTTGCCTGCAAGGAAACAAAACCCAGGGATGGTTGGAAAGGAAACACCCAGCTGGGGGAGCAGCCTTCCCACCCCATCCCGACATTGCCCAACACCAGAGAGGGGCTGATTCTGCCCATCCTGGTGTTTTCTTGCCATGATATGAGCCTGAAGCAGCTGTGGGGTACCAGGGGCAGTGAGGCCCCTCTGGGAGCATCCCCCAAATTCAAGTGGAGCAAAGTGTGGTGCCAGGAGCTGGTGGTGGCCAAAGGGACCCAACAGCAGCACCTGGCCCCACAGCCAGTGGGGCTGAAGATGGAGCACCCCCCTCTTCCTGGGGCTGCACCTCGAATCCCTCTGGCTGGGGAACTGCCCCCACTCTGTGCAGACTGTCCTGGTGGGTCAGGAAGCACATCCTGGCCTTGTGCCACAGGTCTGGACTTTGTCACGGCATCCCTGGCTGAGCTGCCCAGGGCTCTGTGGGGAGCACAGGGGCTGCGGGGCTCGTCACCCCCCCAGGTCCCTCTGTGGGTCACAGCCAGGGGGTCCCTCCCCGTGTCCTGGCTGGGACAGCAGCGAGGGGTGAATATATGGGGCTGGCAGGGGGTCTCTGTACCCTGTGCTGTGTGAATGCACCCCAAGGCTGAGCTGTAGTGCTGGGCCTTCCTCTGTGCCTTGATTTTCCTTTTCTCTTTCCCTTTCTCTTTCCCTTTTTCCTCTCCTCTCCTCCCACCTGTCCCCTCCATCTCCTCCTTTTGCTTTTCCTTCCCTCTCTTCCCACCCCTTGTTCCGTCCTACGTTGCCTTTCCACCCTTTTCCCCCCAGCAAGCTCTGGAGCAGCTGCCTCATCCCAGCACCCTCGAGGGACCCCAGAGACCCCTCCATCCCAGCACCCACCGGTTATCTCCACGATGTTATCCTTGGTCTTGACCACCAGCTCCTCAGGTGCAAAGTGGTTGACGTCCAAGGTGACCTTCCAGCTGTCGGCAGTCTGGCGGATCTCGGAGATGCCGCTGCTGAGCTGGCGGGTCAGCGCCGTCCCGAAGGGCGAGCCCGGGGCCGGCATCAGCGCGCTCTCCCGGGGCAGCAGGCGGAAATATCCCGGCCAGGCGCTGCCGCTCGGCCACTTGTACCAATCCTCGGGGATGTGGGGCATCCCGAAGGACTGGTCGAAGAGGCGGCTGCCATGGTACCAGTCGCGGAAGGGATCCCAGCTGGGGCTGCGCAGGAAGGTGAAGGGGACGCGGCGCTCGGCCATGGTGTGCGGTGCTGCCCGGGGGGCGGCCGGCAGTGCCTTATGAAGAGGGCCGGGGGTTATTTTTAGCCAGGAGGCTCAGCTGGCTATTAATGGAAATCGCAGCAGCCCCGGGGAAGGGACGAGAAACTTTGCCGGGGTTGGGGCGGCCACACGCAGCCGCAGTGTGTGGGCGGCGCGGGGAGGGGGCTGGCAGCCTCCGGGGTCCCCCTGCCAAGGAAGTGTCCGTCCGCCTTTCATCGCGAGAGGCTTGGCTGCTTGGGAGTGATGGATGGCCCTTGGAGCTGCTCCCGGGCTCTTCCTGCCTGCCCGTAAAACAATCCCCGGGACACGCTGGCCTTGTGGGGAGGGAGCTGGGGCTGGGCCAGCGCCTCGGGAATGGCGGGGTGAGTCAGTGGAGGAGGCCGTGCATGGCCCTGCGCTGCGTCACCTGCCAGCCAGAAGGTTCTGGAGCCCCCCAGCCCCTGGTCACTCATCAGCCAGAAGGTTCTGGAGCCCCCCAGCCCCTGGTCACTCACCAGCCAGAAGGTTCTGGAGCCCCTCAGCCCCTGGTCACTCATCAGCCAGAAGGTTCTGGAGCCCCCCAGTTCATCAGTGGTCCCAGGGCTCAGTAATTGTGGTGGGGAACCCCCAGCACCAAGCTGGGGTGAGGCTGCTCCAGCCCCCGTGGGTGGGGGTCTCTGAAGGCCACAGGGCTGAGGAGGCTCTTGGGGGCCAATGGGATCAGTAGGGTGTGTGTGGGGGGCTTATAGGATCTGATGGGGACGGTGGGGAGCAGGGGAGCTGATAGTGATGAGGGGGTTAGGGGGGCTGGAGGGGGCAGGGGGGGCTGGAGGCTTCAGCACACTCTGGGAGAAGGAGGCTCCCTCCCTAAGTCATTTGCCCTCATGTCCAAACGAGCATCTCCACACACCTGACACCCAGGAAAGGATTCCCATCTGGGGCCAGACTCCATGCTCCCATCCCAGGGAAGAGCTGTTTTCCAGCCCCAGCGAGCCCGGCAGCTCTGGGACCCCATCCCCTCTGGGACCCCATCAACTCTGCCCTGTCCTCCTGTGCCCCCCAGCTTTGATTTGGAGAAGCCAGAAGAGGGGGGGGGGGGGGGGGGGGGGGGGAGCAGCTGAACCCTGACACTCCGAGCAGGATGTGTGACCCCAGGGAGTAAGGAATGTGAGGGGAATGCTGCAGAGGGGAATTGGGGGTGTCCTTTGTCTGGGGCAGTGCCCAGCCCATCCCTCTGGAATGGCAGGGAGTGAGAAGGGGCTGCAGGAAGCTGAGCTGTGTGGGGTTTGGGATGGGCTGGGGGGGGAGCCGGGAAAGGAGGGGGGCACTGCGGAGGCAAGAGATGCAGGGAAATGGGAGGGATGCAGGGAAATGGAGGGGCTGCAGGGAGGGATGCAGAGGAAGAGGCAGGGAGGGATGCTGGGAAATGGGAGGGATGTAGGCAGGAATG